GTGCAGAACAGATTATCTAATGCTGGTATCTGATTTGCAGTTGTTTTTTTTTTCCTGGTTAGAACTAAACTTTGAGTCAACTTTGTACCCTTCTTGGACTAATTTGGGAAACCTCCAAGAGATTGCTACCATTGAATATAAGTCCAGGAAATGTGGTTGTCTACATTTTAAAAAAGATGATTGATAAGTTAAGAGAATAGGTGTGATTAGGGACTTCAAACATCTCACATTATCTTTTTGTTGTTGCCTTAGCAACAGATGCAGATGCAGACACTGATGATGTAGGCACATAATTGCAGATAGACACAGGCATATAAGCCCACAGGTGAGGTTCTCTGAATGATTTTGTGCTCATGATAGTCTTTTGTATTTTCAATGTTGACTGTTTTTCAAAATACTAATATACAATTACATAACATTTTATAGTTAACAAAATACTTGAAAATATATTTTTTCCCCACTGTACAAGAAAGATGGTTCTGTCTTCATTTCATAGATGAAGAAGTAGGCTCAAGGCTTGACCAGGGAGCTAGAACTTGAGCTCAGATCCTGTGACTTTTAGAAAACTCATGTGATTTGTTTTCAACTCTTGTATTTATTGCAGTTCAAAGTGGAAAATGAATCATATAGATACACAAATAGAGTTCTTTCTTTAAAAAAAAAAAGATTTTATTTTTTTAAGTAATCTCTGCCATCAATGTGAGGCTCGAACTCACAACCCTGAGATCAAGAGTCACGTGCTCTACTGACTGAGCCACCCAGATGTCCCAACTAGAGTTCTTTCTTTTTTTTTTTTTTAAGATTTTATTTATTCATTTGACAGAGAGAGAGACAGAGAGCACAAGCAGGGGGAACTGCAGAGGGAGAGGGAGAAGCAGGCTCCCCCCCGAGCAGAGAGCCTGACGCGGGGCTCGATCCCAGGGCCCTGGGATCATGACCTGAGCCGAAGGCAGACGCTTAACGACTGGGCCCCCCAGGCGCCCCCGAGTTAGTTCTAATATATCAAAATGAGTGTAAAAATAAGTAAAAATGTACAGCAGTGACAGAAGGTAGCCTGTATGTAAGTGTGTCAGGATGTATTCTTTAGTCCTGAGAGCCAAGGTAGGTTGTTCTGCTGACATTGAGCCTGTGCGGTTGCGCCTGTGCAGGCCTGAGTCCTCTAGGAGAGGCAGAGAGTCAGTGGTATGTGATACTAGGCGTGATCTGCATGATACCCTCAGCAAAGTCATGGTCTAATGGGGATGACAAAACTAGAGTTTAAGACAAGACGTGTATAGCTGGTTTGGGGCTTGGATTGTGTTATCTTGCTACCTCACAAAACCCTACTGCATTTCATAGGTGAGGAAATCAAGACTCAGGGATGAAGTAATATTCAAGTCAGAGACAGCAAGTGGTTGAACTAGGAATGGAATTAAACCTCTTCTATCTTTTTAAAAAGGTTTTATTCGGGGCGCCTGGGTGGCTCAGTTGGTTAAGCGGCTGCCTTCGGCTCAGGTCATGATCCCAGGGTCCTGGGATCGAGCCCCACGTCAGTCTCCCTGCTCGGTGGAGAGCCTGCTTCTTCCTCTCCCTCTCCCTGCTGTTCTGCCTACTTGTGCTCTCTCTCTCTGTCAAATAAATAAAATCCTTAAAAAAAAATCTTTAAAAAAAAAAAAAGGTTTTATTCATTTTAGAGAGAGCGTGCTCACGTGCATGGGCGGGGGGAGGGGCAAGGGAGAGGGGGAGAGAGAATCTCGAGCAGACTCCCCGCTGAGTGTGGAGACTGACCAGGGTTTGATCGCACAACCCTGAGAGTATGACCTGAGCCAAAACCAAGAGTTGGACGCTTAACCAACTGAGCCACCCAGGTGCCCCCAGCCTCTGATCTAACACCAGGGCCCAGTCTTTGTACTGTGTCAGTGCTGCTTTTATAAGTATCAGTAATGTTCCAGCTTGTTCAAGAGACAGAAATAAATAGGGTTTGAAGGTTTAAGAAAGAGGTGGGACCTGAGCTGGTCACTTAACTTGAATATGATTTTGATAGAATGGCAGAGATGGCCTTCTGGGCAAGAGAAAATAGTATGAATAAAATCAGAGGAATCTGCATACCTTCTTTGGGGGATGCTGAGAGGGGCTCTTTAGCTGTAGAGGAATAGAGAGAAGAGGGGGCTTCAGGCTGATATTGTTCACACTTTTTTTCTGCAGGGAGGTACTGGCCAGTGAAGCCATCCTTAATATTCCTGACAAGTCTGACTGGAGGCACTGTCAGGTCAGCAAGGAAGAGGAAGAGATGCTGGCTCGCCGCTTCCGGAAAGACTTTGAGCCCTTTGACTTCACTCTGGATGACTAAGCAAAGGGAAAGGCACTTTATGAACTTGACAGGAAGTAGTAGCCTGCTTTTTTAAAGGAACTACAGTCTCCCATGGGGACTGTTTTTCTGCCTCTTTTTTGTGCATTCCCATGGAACCTGCTTGCAGCAAGAGGCCTAAGATTGAGTATTTTTTGAAAATATTTCTAGGATGAAAATCCTGTTAAAATAAGCATGTCTGTCGTCCAGCTCCAAGTACAGCATATGTTAATCAACATTTTCAAAAACATTAAACTATCAAAATCCAAATGCTTTTCCATGGTTGGGAAGTATCTTATGTTCATGTTACCTGTACCATTAAATGAAGTGGTGTGTATGTGTGAATGTGTGTGTGTATGTGTGTAATAGGGTCCAGGGCTTTAGACCCAGCTGTTATTCCAGGATCTCACAGGTGCCTTCTCCCTGAACAATCTAGGGTAGAAAAGGGACCTAAGGCCTTTGCCATTTTTCTCTTATAGCATTCATCTTGTTGATATAAAAGAGCTCTTTCAGCCCTTTAGCAAATACTTAACTCCTATGTGCCAGGCATTTTTCTAGACTCCAGGAATATGGCCCATGTCCCAACATGGTCCCCGTTATCCCAGAGTTTACAGTCTAATTGGGAAGAGAAGGGGCAGATTTTAAGAGAAGGAAGATGAGTTCTGCTTAGGATAGTTGCAGTATGCTGTTGGGTAGTTGTAAACTCATGGAGACCTGGGTTGGTGATAGTGCTTTGGGGATCATCAGGGTGTAGGCCATAGCTGAAATTATGAAAATAAGATAGGATGAATACAGTCCTAGGCTGAAGATGAATACCTAAGTATCAATATTTAAGGAGTCCTTGGAAATAGAGTGATCCACAAGTACATGGAAAAGAGAGAGGGAGAGATCACAGGAGAATGCTGTATCTTGGAAGCCAAAAGAAAAATAATTGTTCCTTTAGATTGGGCACTTATGGCCCAGACAATGTTTCACTTAATTCTCACAAAATGTCTATTGAGGTATTTATTGCCTCCATTTTATACATGAAAAAACAGACTCTCAAACTTGAAGATCGTGAAGCCTAAGGTTGACCATCCCAGAATTTAAAAACAAGCTAAGCAGCATCCCCGAGAATGGGGATGTTCAAAGACTGAACTATGAGAAACAACCTGGTTCCTGCAAAGATGGCCACTTTAGGGTCAGCCCACTCATCAGTATCCTTAGGTCCTCAGCATCGCTCCTTAGCTCTTCCAAGTGAGTGTTACAAGAATTTGCCCACCCCCCATCCGCGGAGCTCAGACACACTCTGGTGATAGGCTATGCAGTACACCTAGCAGACAAAGGGCTTTATACTGTTAGGGGCAATCAGTACCGCAATCATCAGTGCAGTCGGCCCAACTCTTACAGATGTGTTTGGGAGGTACCATTTGCCATCACCTCCAACTCCAGCTCCATGGCAACTAAGCACATGTGGGAATCCAGAATCTGCTACCACACATTACTGAGGCCCAACACCATGACATGGCTTGTACATGCAGTGTTCAACATTCTGGTTGCACCATTCAGGGATTCTCAATCAATAGACCCGTGTACTCTGCCAGAAGCCAGTTCAGTGCTTTCAGAACAGTCAGCAACACTGCTGTGGTGCACGTGCTGTATCCACCTTTAGGCATCTCAGCATGTTACATCTGTTTGTGGGTCACAAAGTGTTAGTTGGAATTTAAGTACTGAGATCACCACAGGTGGGGCTGTGCAAACGATGGTCCAAGCGCACATCATCTCAAAGGGGTTTCAAATGACCACTAATGCAACTGATACATTTCTTCAGAATATTGGACGCCACAGTGATTTTTACACCCAGAGTGACCGACTACATCCCCAAGTTCTGTGAGGCTGAGGCATATGACCAACTCAAAGTGAAAATGGAAAGCTGGTTCTTCCATGCTAAGGCTATCCGCCACTGGGAAGCACTTCTTGTTGCAGCAACAGCATTCCTGAAGCTTGCATCTGCAGCCCTGCATCACACATCAGAAACAATTCCCGCAATGAGGAACTACTGCACTGGCAAACCCATAAATGGAAGACCACTGGACTGCAAGCTCCGTGAGGCATTTAGGGGAAAGCTCCCGAAATCAGGAGGAATATTCTTTACTTCGCAACAGCGTCACATCCTTGAGTCGTTTGTGATTACAGGGGAAATCCTGGAACAGGTGTACAAGAAGTCAAGCAAAAGAAGAGCTGAGCCTGACTTTATGGAAGATGATTAACCATTAAAAAAAAAGACTGTAAAATTTAATGCATCAGTAGACCTGTTAGCGCAGGAGTCTTTCCAGTTTTTCGATTCCGCAATATTTGAATCATTGGTGGCTTTTGCCAGTGCCAGTTCAGCGGGTGGTGGGGTTGGAGGATAGATGGCAGAGGTCGGAAGAAAGGTGAAATGGAGACGGGGTGGAGACGATGTGAAGTTTAGAAAATGACTTGAATGGAGAGGTTATAGTTTTGGAAGCCTGGGAAAACATATGTGGGTTCTCTCAGCCAGGAAAATGCCCGGGGGACTTGGCGAACTGAAGGCGAGCTCCACTCTTCCCGATCCTTTCGCTGGCTGGACTCCTGTATGCCCCGGGGGAGAAGCTGGGGCAGGGCTTTTCATGTGGCGGTTACCGGAAGTGACGCATACATCTCGCGAGAAGAACGACGCGCGAGCCTCGGCGGCCCGGAACCGGCCTGGGAACAGTGGCGGAACCTGAGGCCGCTTGCCCTCCCGCCCCATGGAGCGGCCCCCGGGGCTGCGGCCGGGCGCGGGCGGGCCCTGGGAGATGCGGGAGCGGCTGGGCACCGGCGGCTTTGGGAACGTCTGCCTGTATCAGCATCGGGTGAGGTGGGGCGCGAGAGGGAGCGGCGGTGGGTGTTTGTCAGAGCGTCTGTGGAACACAGCGACTGTCAGTACGTGAGAGACTGTCGGTGAGACTTTGCGCAGTAGTGTGGGCCAGTAAGCCTGTGTAAATGAGTGAATGTGAGATACTGTGCCTGTGAGTCTGGTAACTGAGTCCGAGGCTGTATCCGAGGTCCTGGGTCAGTGTGTGTGAGATAGAGCTCTTAGGGGGAACTTCTGGTATGAATGCCAAGATATGACAGACTGTTTAGAGTGTGACACTGCGTATGTGTCTCCGAATGTAGAGTGTGTCGGGGTGTGCGAGGCAGATGCACATTAAAGTGTGTATTGCGAGCATGAATGGGTGAGAAAATGGGACTGAAGAAGGGGGTTGACTGTTGGAATGTGTGTGTTCATGTGTGTGCTTGGAGGCTGTGTGATACCTGTAGGGGCTGGAATAGACACGGAAGGTTTCATGGGTCCACAGTTGAGCTTTTGGAGGCATCGGGTAGGCTTCAGATTTGGGGATGCGTTTTGGGTAGGGAACAGTGTAAGGATCAGCTGGTGAGATGATCATGGCTTCCTAAGGGAAGGAAGTAGATTGGGTGTGAGGTGTTCTAGTCGGTGAAGACAGCTAACTTCAGACTCAGGAATTTTGCTTTAATTTAATTGAAAATGTTTAACCATTTACCAGCAGTTAATAATCATGTTTGAGATACGCATCTTTCAATATACCAATAAAAGCTATGAACCCTTTTCCCGGCAAAATGCACAGTTGCACATCCCCACCACCTTATGCATTGCCATTTGAAGGGGGGTCATGCTCTCCTGAAGGACATTCACAGACCTTTTAGAGGTATACATCCTTGACTAATAATCCTTGCAGATTTTGTTTTGTCATCTGTAAAATAGTTAAAGTAATTATTATACATCATGGGTCTGTTTGAGAGTTAAATAAGATAATATGTGTAAAGCTAAGTACAGTACCTGTCGTAAGTTAAACCCTCAAATGTTAACTCCTGCTGCTCCTGTATTGTTGCTGTTGTCATCATCTTTACCATTATTAATTGGCCTTAAAAAAGGAAGTGTCAAGATAAAAGTGGTGTCTTTGGAAGATTGTTTTGTAAAAGATGAAACTGAGTGAAAAACATGGGGAAGATGAGCAGTTAAAATATTATTAAAATGCTTGCAATTGACCTGTGAATGGAAAAATGAATTCAAGATTTGCTGTCTTAAGGAATTAGGGGTATGGATAGAGAGCCCATAATATAGGGTGGGAGGTAGGGGACATGGGAGTATGCTTGGGAGGAATAGGCATGTTTCTGTGGCAGTCACAATGACAAATGTCACTGCTGGAACTGAGGAAATTTTGTGAAGCAGCTTTCTAGATAGAGCATAGGAGGACATCTTGGAGAGAGGGAGAATGGGAGGTGAAGGACTAAGGCATTGAGTGCTTTGACAGCTAGACAAGTAGTAAATTTAATAATTCTGATCATCAGAGAGGACATAAGGCACTCAAAGAGAAAAGAGGGAGCCAAGTACTTCCAGTGGTATGTTGCCTATGGCCTTGTTTTCAAAGCCTGCCCATCAGCCTGGTCATAAGAAAAAATACGCTTGTTAGCCTGCTTTTGTGACTGCTTTTCTTGGTCCCTGACTGGAGATAGATCAACGCATCACTTTAAAAAAAAAATTGTAGTAAGATATATATAAAGTTTACCATTTTAACCATTTTTAAGTGTACAGTACATGGCATTAAGTACATTCACATTGGTGTGCAACCATTACCACCATCTATTTCTAGAACTTTTTCATCTTACCAAACTGAAATCATTAAATGATAACTCCTGATAACTCCCCATTCCCCCCCCCCCCCCCCCGCAACCACCCTTCTACTTTCAGTCTCTACTCTCTGGAATTCATTATCTTTTAAATGGAAGAGATTTGGGTTCTTCTAGAATGTTAGAAATCTCTCGAGAACTTTCCAGGTGTCTAGACTGGCTCTTCCCGCAAATTGGGACATTTGATAACTGGGCCTGTAGTGAAAAGAAAAGAAATACTCTGTCCTAAGACTTGGAAACAGCATCATTACTTTTCTAAGCCTGACTTCGTATTTGCCTTTAACAGCTTTCAAGATCTTTGTGTTTTGGTGGAAACCATGTCCCAGTATTTTATCTACGTCTCTTAAATCACAGTGAGGAAGAGAAAAGGATGTGAGATAGTTTATTTATCTGATTATTATGCTGGGTGCTGATGGTACCCAAGTCAATAAAAATAGTATTTTCTGCCCTCACGGAGATTTCAAGTCTAGTGGGAGAGGCAGACACAGAAACACTTTAAGTACAGTGTGGTAACCTATATAACAAAGGTATTTATAAAGTAATATGGAAGCTTGGCAAAAATAACCAAAGAATTCTTCCTAGGGAATAGGGTAGCACTTCTCAAAGTGTGTTTGGGAAAATTAATCGTGTGAAATACTTTGAAAAAAGAATACTGTGGTCAAATACATTGGGTAAATGCTGTATAAAATATTGTTTCACTTGGAGAGTCATAATCCACATTAGCATATTAAAAGCTCTGAGAAGTACTTTAGTAAAGAAACTAACTTCGTATTTTCCAATTTTTTTATTGTGGTAAAATAGATAACATTTACCATTTTTAAGTTTACAGTTCTGTAGCATTAAGTACATTCACATTGTTGTGCAACAATAGCCACTATCTGTCTCTGAAATATTCCCAGGTTTTAGGGCTTAATGTTGTTCGTGGTTATACTTAATTGTCTCCATGGTGGTAAAAGTTTACGTGGGACCTAGCTACAGCCAGGTACCTGCTCAAAACAAAAGAAAGGTTGAAGGGAATGAGGACTGTATTTAAGCTAGATTGTAGTGTATCCTACTTCCTTTTTTCTTTCTCTGTACATAGCCTGTCTTATCTCTAGCTTCTTCCCTTCACCATCCCTCTGCCCCCATTTAGAATATCCCATACAAGTTAATGTCTTGCTTCCTCATCTATATACTGTATTTTTTTTTTCTTCCTGTTTGGTCCTGACTGCTGTTCCTGGGCTGCATTTTACTGTTGCCAGAATGTGATGAGGTCTGTTTCCTGTAATGTGCATCAGGTGGGGTTTAATTTCAGTCAGAATTGGCTAAATTACTAGTCATAGGCAAGAGCTATTAAGTTCATTTTATAGATATAGAAATAGAAATATAGCCATTGTTAGGATTTTTTTAAATGTCATTTGAAATGTAAAGATTAGGAACAAATTTTGGAGGTTTTTTTTTGTTAAGCTTGGTTATATTGAAACTATTTCTTGCTCCTGAGGCCAGGTAACCCTAAATTATCACCTTCATTCTGGTTATGCTGACGGCTGGGGCCCTTGTTAGCTGTCTTGACTAAGCTCAAAAAGGGGTTTGTTGGGGAGACAGGAAATCTCAGCTCTAAGTATGTTAGTACAAGAGGTCTTTTATTGTTTTTCCTCTGAGAGAAAAAAAATTGTCTGATCTTCTTGGGCATTTGACCTGTCAAGATTTTTTCCCTCTCTCTTTTTTTCTTTTTTTTATTGCTTTTTATTTTAATTCCAGTAAACATACAGTGTTATATAAGTTTCAGATGTGCAATATAGCGATTCAACAATTTTGTTCATTACTCAGTACTCATTATTATAAGTGGACTCTTTAATCCCCATCACTTATTTCACCCATCCCGCAACCTACCCCCCTTCTGGTAACTATCAGTTTGTTCACTGTAATTAAGAGTCTGTTTCTTGGTTGTCTGTCTCTCTCTTTCTTTGCTTATTTTGTTTCTTAAATTCTACATACGAGTGAAATCATGTGGTATTTGTCTTTCTCTGATTTATTTCATTTAGATTATGTTTTCTAGCTCCATCCATGTTGTTGCAAATGGCAAGATTTCATTCCTTTTTATGGCTGAATAATATTCCATTTTATACTACATCTTTTTTTTTTTTTTAAGATTTTATTTATTTATATGACAGAGAGAGACACAGCAAGAGAGGGCACACAAGCAGGGGGAGTGGGAGAGGAAGAAGCAGGCTTCCCGCTGAGCAGGGAGCCTGACGTGGGGCTCGATCCCAGGACCCTGGGATCATGACCTGAGCCAAAGGCAGACGCTTAACGACTGAGCCACCCAGGCGCCCCTGTGCTACATCTTCTTTATCCATTCATCTATTGATAGACATTTGGCCTGCTTCCATAATTTGGCTATTGTAAATAAAGCTGCAGTAAACATAGGGGTGCCTGTATCCCTTTGAATTATTGTTTTTGTAGTTTTTGGGTAAATACACAGTAGTGCAATTATTTCATCATAGGGTAGTTCTATTTTTAACTTTTCAAGGTACCTCTATACTGTTTTCCACAGTGGCTGCACCAGTTTATATTCCCACCAACAGTGCATGAGGTTTTTCTCCACATCCTCACCAACACTTGCTGTTTCTTGTGTTTTTTAATTTTAGCCATTCTAACAGGTGTGAGATATCTCATTGTAGTTTTGGTTTGCATTTCCCTGATGATGAGTGATGATGAGCATCTTTTCATGTATCTGTTGCCCATCTGTTTATCTTCTTTGGGGAACTGTCTATTCCTTTCTTCTGTCCATTTAGTTGGATTATTTGTTTTTTGGGTGTTGAATTATATCAGTTTTTACATATTTTGGATACTAACCCTTTACCAGATATGTCATTTGCAAATATCTTCTCCCATTCAGTGGTTGCCTTTTAGTTTTGTTGATTGTTTCTTTTGCTGTGCAGAAGCTTTTTATTTTGATGTAGTCTCAATAGTGTATTTTTGCATTTATTTCCCTTTCCTCAGAAGACCTATCTAGAAAAATGTTGCTATGGCTGATGTCAGAGAAATTACTGCCTGTGTTCTCTTCTAGGATTTTTATGGTTTCAGGTCTCATATTTATGTCTTGAATCCTATTTTTATTTTTTATTGATTGATTGATTATTTTTTATTGATTGATTGATTGATTGATTGATATAGCGTGCACATGTGCCAGCAGGGAGGGTGGTGGGAGGAGGACAGAGGGAGGAGGAGAGAGAATCTTAAACAGGCTTCATGCCCAGCCTGGAGCCCAACACAGGGCTCCATCTTACAACTCTGAGATCATGACCTGAGGTGAAATCAAGAGCCGGATGCTTAACTGACTGAGGCACTCTGGCCCCCGTCTTTAATCCATTTTGAGTTTATTTTTGTGTATGGTGTAAGAAGCTGGTCCAGTTTTATTCTTTTGCATGTAACTGTCCAGTTTTCCCAACACCATTTGTTGAAGAGACTTTTTCCCATTGCATATTCTTGCCTCCTTTGTCATAGATTAATTGAGCATATAATTGTGGGTTTATTTCTGGGCTCTCTATTCTATTGATCTATTTGTCTAGTTTTGTACCACTATACTGTTTTGATTACCACAGCTTTGAATATAACTTGAAGTCTGGAATTGTGATATCTCCAGTTTTATTTTTCTTTTTTCAAGATTACTTTAGCTATTCAAGGTCCTTTTTTGTGGAATCTTTAGGGTTTTCTGTGTATAGTATCATGTCATCTACAAATAGTGAAAATGTTACTTCTTCCTTACTAATTTGGATGCTTTATATTTCTTTTTGTGGTCTGATTGCTGTGGCTAGGACTTCCAGTACTATGTTGAATAAAAGTGGTGAGAGTGGACATCTTTGTCTTGTTCCTGACCTTGGGGAAAAGCTCTCAGTTTTTCTCCATTGGGTGTGATGTTCACGGTGGGTTTTTCATATTATGGAGGCTGGGGTGAAGGTCAGTTTTGAAGCATTCCTTTAATAGTGTCTCATGGTTTGCCTAGCAAAAGCATTGGCTCAAGAGAGCTGTGGATAAATCTGTTTAATTAGTAAAGCTAAAGTATTTTGTTTCCCCAGGTTGGCATTTCTTTGATAGCAAGTAAATCTACCAAGAACCTAATTAATATATTTTTCTCTGTTGATTTTCTATTTTGACAGGAACTTGATGTCAAAATAGCAATTAAGTCATGTCGCCTAGAACTAAGTACCAAAAACAGAGAACGGTGGTGCCATGAAATCCAGATCATGAAGAAGTAAGTGTATTTGATGGCTTCTATTTCTCCAGCTCTGCAGCCCAGGCAGACGTCATCATAGGGAAGGAGGGTAGGAATCTGTTCTTTTCAGGATCTTTTGGGGAATGTGTTTTTTTCTTTCTCATCAAATGTATATGTTCTATCTCAAATAATAACATCACATTATGATTAAGTAAGTTTAGTTTTAAAAATCAGCTAAAAGGGTGCTTGGGTGGCTCAGTCGGTTAAGCAGGTGCCTTGGGCTCAGGTCATGATCTCAGGGTCCTGGGATCGAGCCCTGAGTTGGGCTCCCTGCTCCGTGGGAGTCTGCTTCTTCCTCCGCCCCTCTCCCCCAACTCATGCTCACTCTTTCTCTCAAATAAATAAATAAAATCTTAAAAAAAAAAAAATCAGTAGGTATTATCAGACTCAATTCTTCTGTGGGCAGAATCTTTCTTCTGGATATTGGGCAATATTCATCCATTATACTTTCTCGTTAAATATAATCACTACTCTCATTTCTTTATTCTTACCTATTTTTGTTGAATAGTATATCTATTGCTTCGTACAAAGTTACCCCAAAATTTAGTGGCTTAAAACAACAACCATTTGGGGGCCCCTGGCTGGCTCAGTCAGAAGAGCCTGTGACTCTTGATCTCAGGGTCATGAGTTCAAGTCCCACATTGGGTGTAGAGATTACTTAAATAAATTTAAAAAAAACCAAAACCTGACAAACATTTAGTATCTCATAGTTTCTGTGGTTTAGGAATTTGGGGAGTGACTTAGTTTAGTGATTCTGACTCAGGAGATCCCTCCTGAGACACCCCAAAATGTTGAGTGGAACTACAGTCATCCAAAGGCTTGAATGGGGTTGGAGTATCCACTTCCAAGCTTATTTATATAGCTGTTGGCTAGAGGTATCAGTTGCTCATCATATGGGCCTCTGCATAGGGAAGCTTGGATATTTTCATGACATGGTAGCTAGCTTTCCCCAAAGTGAGTGATCTGAGGAGAGAGAATAAAGTGAAAGCTGATTATCTTTTATGATCTTTCCTCGGAAGTAATATCTTTTCTACCACATTCTATTTATTAGAAATGAGTCACTAAGTACAGCCTACGCTCAAGGGTGGGAGAAGAATTAAGTTCTTAAAGGGAGAAGTGGGCATATTTTAAAACCTGCACAAGTAGTGTACTGAGTGCTTTACAAATAATTCTACTTGTCACAGCAACCCTGTTTTTAGGTATTATCCCTATTTTAAGATGAGGAAGTTGAAACTCATAGAGTCATACAACTGGTAGCTAATAGAGTCTGGATTTGAAATAAGTACTTTCTCACTCCAGTGTCTTTGCTCAGTTCACTATTAAAGTACTCAAACTTGGCTATGTGGCAGAATCACCAGGAAACCTTGTTAACAGTATAAATTCTCAGGCCCTACACATGGAGATTCTGTTTCCTTAGGTCTCTAGGACCTGGTAATCTATTCCAATTTTGAGATCCGTTGCATTGATGATGATGATGATGATGATGATGGCTGGGATGATATATTGTTAAGTTAAAAAAAAAAAGATGTTAGAAAACAATATATAGTGAGATTTAACATTTATTTAAAAATGTATCTATGTACAGATTGAAGCTAGAAGGAAATATGCCAGCATTTTAATATATTACCTATGGGTGGCATTGTAAGTGATTGTGGGAGAACCAGTATGATAAAGGCTTTGGAGCCAGACTACCAGATTTGAATCCTTACTTGACCACCTCCTTGCTGTGTGATCCTATATTATTTAACCAATTTGTGCTTCAGTTTTCTCCTGTGTGATGAGACTATTAATAAATCTACCTATAGTAGGATTATTGTGACAAGTAAATGAGTTAAAGTATGTAAAGTGGGTACTGTTTGGCACGTAGAAATGTAATAGTAGTGATTGTGATAGTATTTTTTTCTATATTTTATTTATCTTTAAAGATTTATTTATTTATTTTAGAGGGGGTTGGCAGAGGGAGAGGGAAAGAGAGAATCCCAAGGAGACTCTTTGCTGAGCCCAACACAGGGCTTGATCCTACAATCTGAGATCATGACCTGAGCCAAAATCAAGAGTTGGATGCTTAACTGACCAAACCACCCAGGTGCCCCATCTATATTTTATTTTTGAAAATTATTAATTCTTCATTATACAAAGGAGAAATTAGAATATTATAAATAATGCCAGCCTTTCTTCCACTGCCCAATTAACTACCATTTCAAACCCAATTTCTTTTCATTGGGAAAAAAAATTTTATTATAATGTTTTCCCCTTCTTGTTAGGTTGAACCACACCAATGTTGTGAAGGCCTGTGATGTACCTGAGGAATTGAATTTTTTAATTAATGATGTGCCTCTTCTAGCAATGGAATACTGTTCTGGAGGAGATCTCCGAAAGGTAGTGTGGATGTTTTGAGATGATGAGATAGTAAATCATGAACCTTAGCAACGCTTGAATCATATTTAATATGATAATCTAGAATAAAAGTCAGTACACTATGGCCTGTTATCTATTTTTGTGGCTGCTTTTTAACTACAACATCAGAATTAAGTAATTGTGACAGAGATCTGTGGCCTGCAAAACCTAAAGTATTTACTGTGTGGCCCTTTACTGGGAACATTTGCTAACCCCTGATTGAGAACATGCATTTTTTTGTAGGTGGTAGTGTTTGCAGGATGGGAGTGGATTGATTGTGTTAGACCAAAATATCAATGTCTAAGGTGTTTATAAAGAAGTTGTGTTAAAAAAAAAAAAAAAGAGGGTTTGTGTGTGTGTGTATATGTGTGTGGGTTTTTTTTTTTTTCTGTTGCAGGTCTTACTCATTTTAAATCTGTCGTATGGCTATTTTTAAATATATGAGGTTTTTTTCAATCTTTTTCAATTTCACATACTTTCCCTCTTTATCTTTACTTGCATAAGTCTTGTCATGAAATTAATTTGTCTTCAGTATGCTTTTGTAATTTTTCCCTTCTTACATTTTCTTAATTGTGACTTATTTTCTCATAGTGTATAGGGATTGATGTGTTGCTACTACTGCCCAGCAGTATTGGCAGTATACATTCTTAGACTTCTTTTTTTTTTTTTTCCTTTAGTTACTCAACAAACCAGAAAATTGCTGTGGACTTAAAGAAAGCCAGATACTTTCTTTACTGAGTGATATCGGTATGTAATCAATTTGAAAATACCATCATAATTTAATGCCCCTTTGGTTTATAAAAGGATTTATATACTACTTGGGAATTGAGAATTTTTGATGTACTATACAAAGCATACACTTTTACCATCTATAAGAAATTATCAGAAAAATTTAACTGTTGCTGTTGATGCTAAAACTAGGATATTTTATTGTTTTTTTGCTAGGAATCCATTTTTTACTAATAGATGTTCCAGTTGCTGACAAAAAATGGTGTAAAATGACCTTATTCAATTTTACTCTCCATCCCTCTCTGCCTAACATAGTAATTTTATTTACCAGTGGCATTGCATCTCATGGTTATCGGTCCTCAAGTCAACTCTTAGGATGAAATCTCTTTTTAAAGAATTACTCCTGAAAGATCCCTAAAATTATCTGCACTTAGGTCCTTGGAAGAAGGTCAGAAGCCAAGAATATGTTTCCCTATATATTTTGATTTTGCTGCTTTTCCTAGGTCATGGAGGTCAAGTCTAGTTGAAAATCTAGATGATTTAGGTGGAAGGGAAAACTAGAGGGATATATGTAATTCTGGAGTATTTTTTTAATGTTAACTGGATATTCTGTGGAGAGAATCTTAACTGGTATAATATCATTAATCATATAGTTATGATGGCCCATATAAATATGAGCATCGGAGGGGTGGCTAGCTGGCTTAGTCAGAGGGACATGTGATGCTTGATTTTGGGGTTGTGAGTTCAAACCTCACATTGGGTGTAGAGATTACTTAAATAAACAAAACTTAGAAAAAAAAGTTTGAATGTCAGAGTAGATCTGTACAAAATGTAAGATGAATTTATTTTTAATTCAGTATTTCTGTTACCTTAAAATACATTTTAAACTTTATTTAGGGTCTGGGATCCGATATTTGCATGAAAACAAAATTATACATCGTGATCTAAAACCTGAAAACATAGTTCTTCAGGATGTTGGTGGAAAGGTAGGTGAAACCTGAAGAAGTGTTACATGCCAATTGAATACAGTCTCCCTGGTGTAGTCTTTGAAGTCTGTTGTCTTTCCATAGCATTTTGTACTTTTTCTATCCCTGCCCTCATTACACTGAACTGTGGTTTTGTGTTTAATTGTCTCCTCTGCTAACACAGTGGCTCCCATTAGAGAAGGAACTGTGCCTATCTTGCTCACTTCTGTTTTCTAATAAAATATCTAGTAGAGGTAATAGGCAGTGAGTAAAAATAATTTGTTAATCCCTTACAAAGCACATCCAACACATGCACACATCCTGGATTTAGTTAAGTATGTTTACTTAACTATGTTTCTTATTTAAGGAAGAACAAACTCATTCTCCTCCCCAAAAGTCCTAAGTTCTATATTTAAGTAAAATTTAAAACCTTGATTTCTCAGATTCTTAAATGAATCATCTTGAGGAGAATGAGAAATTATGCACTGACTCCTGGAATACTTGTATTTATCAGAATAATTTGAACAGTTTTCTTGTGACTAGCACTCAGGTTCCAGTCCAATAAAGATGTAAAGCCAAGAGTCTGAACCTTGAATTAGATTGTGTGGTCTTTAGTTAGCGATGATGGTGGTCAGTTGGAGGTGATGAAACCTTGATGGTGCCTCTTTTCTTAGGAGCCTTTCATGTATGCTTGGCACCAACTGTTGCTGCTTTTTTTGTATCCAAAGACTTCAGGATATTCTTGAAGTTAGACTCACTCCGTGGTATGATGCTTTTTCAAGTTTGGAATCATCCTTACCTTTCCCTTCTGGTTTAATGGATCAAGCTTATTCTGAATATACCAAAATAAAAATTAATCTATACTTAATTTTTAAACATTTTTTTACCATGTATCAGGTACTGTGTTGAATTCTTTTCTTTCATTATTTCATTGATCCTAATAATAATTCTGTGAAGTAAGGATTGTTAGTAATACCATTATTTAGGAAACTGAGAGAAGTTAAGTAACTTGATCAGGGTCACATAAGCGGTGGAGCTCAGGCTTGAAATACATTTGTGATAGTCCAGAGCCCAAGCTTTTCCCCACCACGCTCTCCAGAGCCTTATAAGGACATTGTTGCCTTTCCTTTTCAAATTTCTCAGTCATTTAATACTTATTGTATTGCAGATTATGCATAAAATAATTGATCTGGGATATGCCAAAGATGTTGATCAAGGAAGTCTTTGTACATCTTTTGTGGGAACACTGCAGTATCTGGTGAGACATGGATTGTTTCTTTGAATTTAAGTGTACAGGATTCATGTTCTTTTTTCTGAAGGTCATGAATATAGTAGTTCAAAAATAAAGTAGCTTTTCTCTTGTAGTGTTGATGTTTAAAGCATTTTGTTTTTTCTTTTTAAGGCCCCAGAACTCTTTGAGAATAAACCTTACACAGCCACTGTTGATTATTGGAGCTTTGGGACCATGGTATTTGAATGTATTGCTGGATATAGGCCTTTTTTGCATCATCTGCAGCCATTTACCTGGTAAGAAAAGGAAGAGAACTTTGGTGTGCTTGATGGGAATGGAAATACTCAGTTACCTGCTTTTTTTTTCCTTCCATACCCCTTCATATGGTATAATTGCCTTTTAAGCACATAATTGAATAAAGTTAAATGACAAAAAATCTTAGTGTTTGTGAGAATCAGTTGTCAACAAGGTAGCTTGTTTTATAGGCATGAGAAGATTAAGAAGAAGGATCCAAAGTGTATATTTGCATGTGAAGAGATGACAGGAGAAGTTCGGTTTAGTAGCCATTTACCTCAACCAAATAGCCTTTGTAGGTAAGTATATTTTAGTTGAGGAAGTTCACCTCAGTTTCTTTAGGGTTACAAAAGAACTGTAGAGTTGTTGTCTGTTTCAAGTAGGACTGTGCAGTGAAACTTTCTGTGATGATGAAAAAGTTTTATATCTGTGATGGCCCCATGAGACTATTGAGCACCTGAAAGGTTGTAATGTGACAGAAAAACTCAATTTTAAATTTTATTTAATTTTCATTAAGTGTAAATGCAAATAGCCACTTGTGACTAGAGGCTACCATATTGGACAGCACAGGTCTAGTAGAAATAAGAACTCCTGCTATAAGAAGATTCTTGGGATACTGAAATAAATGGGTTCCTTGGAAAATGGAACCGGACTCATCTGTTGAAGTTGCCAGTACTTACATATGTAGGTTTTGGGTTGCTTTTTATGGAAAAAAGTTTGTCCCCTATCATTTTATGAATTACTTGAAAGTAAGATACAAAAGGATACAGCTGAGTAATGAGAAAGGACATGGACAACTTACAAAATTACCTTTTTTCACAATACTAAAGGAAAACTGGAACATAATGATTTTCACCCTATTTTTTGTATGCTTTCTAGTTTAATAGTAGAACCCATGGAAAACTGGCTTCAGTTGATGCTGAATTGGGATCCTCAGCAAAGAGGAGGACCTGTTGATCTTACTTTGAAGCAGCCAAGATGTTTTGTATTAATGGATCACATTCTGAATTTGAAGGTTAGTTTGAATGTAGTCTACTTCATAAGACTTGCATTGAAGTTAACAAATTTATTTGGAAAATAAGCATAAACATTTTAATAATCTTTTCTGATGCTTATTTGAAAAGAAAATTATATTCTTGGAGCTGATGTGTTTTTATGTCTTTAGTAAGCCTTCTCAGTTTTACTTCTAAGTGGTCTTTGTTGATTGCTTTTATGAAACATCTTTTGGATTTTCCTCTTCCTCGGATTGGTGCCATTAGACCTCATTCATTTGGGTGTAATCATACTGGATTTGTTTGGTGAGGAAATTTCTTGCCTGACTTTCATGACTCTATACTTCCTCCCCATCCTGTAGTCCATGCAGCATGAACTATCCATCTCATCTTCTGAAAATGCTTTTTATTCTCCTGTCCAAGAAACCAGCATAGTTCTTCTTGCCTACCAGTCAAGTCTAAACTGATCTGCCTGCCTTTTGGAGCTTTCCTCATGCAGGTCCACCCCAACCAAGAGCTTGCCCCGGACCTGCTTCTCTTACCTTTTACTTTGCTAGGTCCAGCTTGTCACTGCTCCTTATGCCATCGAGCACATTATCCATTTTTGTGCTTTGACAGATGGTGTCCTTCTGCCCAGAATGATCTTGGTCTCTGTGTATCTCCTCAGCTACACTGGCATATATTCAACTCTCCTTTTCTCTGAATGGTCTCTGTCACATAATTTGTCATTTAAGTCATATTTATTATATTTTCTAATTGTTTCTCATCTTCCACTCATGCCTTTCCATATAGGTTGTCTTCTTTAATGCTGGGGTTGTTCTTACTACCTTTTTTTTTTTTTATGTTATGTTAATCACCATAGATTACATCATTAGTTGTTGATGTAGTGTTCCATGATTCATTATTTGTGCATAACACCCAGTGCTCCGTGCAGAACGTGCCCTCTTTAATATCCATCACCAGGCTAACCCATCCTCCCACCCCCCTCCCCTCTAGAACCCTCAGTTTGTTTTTCAGAGTCCATAGTCTCTCATGGTTCATCTCCCCCTCCGATTTCCCCCCCTTCATTCTTCCCCTCCTGCTATCTTCTTCTTCTTCTTTTTTTTTTTTAACATATAATGTATTATTTGTTTCAGAGGTACAGGTCTGTGATTCAACAGTCTTGCACAATTCACAGTGCTCACCATAGCACATACCCTCCCCAATGTCTATCACCCAGCTGCTCCATCCCTCCCACCCCCCACCACTCCAGCAACCCTCAGTTTGTTTCCTGAGATTAAGAATTCCTCATATCAGTGAGGTCATATGATACATGTCTTTTTCTGATTGACTTATTTCGCTCAGCATAACACCCTCCAGTTCCATCCACGTCGTTGCAAATGACAAGATTTCATTCCTTTTGATGGCTGCATAATATTCCATTATATATATATACCACATCTTCTTTATCCATTCATCTGTCGATGGCTCTTTCCACGGTTTGGCTATTGTGGACATTGCTGCTATAAACATCGGGGTGCACGTACCCCTTCGGATCCCTACGTTTGTATCTTTGGGGTAAATACCCAGTAGTGCAATTGCTGGATTGTATGGTAGCTCTATTTTCAACTTTTTGAAGAACCTCTATACTGTTTTCCAGAGTGGCTGTACCGGCTTGCATTCCCACCAACAGTGTAGGAGGGTTCCCCTTTCTCCGCATCCCCGCCAACATCTGTTGTTTCCTGACTTGTTAATTTTAGCCATTCTGACTGGTGTGAGGTGATATCTCATTGAGGTTTTGATTTGGATTTCCCTGATGCCAAGCGATATTGAGCACTTTTTCATGTGTCTGTTGGCCATTTGGATGTCTTCTTTGGAAAAATGTCTGTTCATGTCTTCTGCCCATTTCTTGATTGGATCATTTGTTCTTTGGGTGTTGAGTTTAAGAAGTTCTTTATAGATTTTGGATACTAGCCCTTTATCTGATATGTCATTTGCAAATATCTTCTCCCATTCTATCGGTTGTCTTTTGGTTTTGTTGACTGTTTCTTTTGCTGTGCAAAAGCTTTTTATCTTGATGAGGTCCCAATAGTTCATTTTTGCCCTTGCTTCCCTTGCCTTTGGCGATGTTTCTAGGAAGAAGTTGCTGCAGCTGAGGTCGAAGAGGTTGCTCCCTGTGTTCTCCTTTAGGATTTTGATGGACTCCTGTCTCACATTTAAGTCTTTCAACCATTTTGAGTCTATTTTTCAGTGTGGTATAAGGAAATAGTCCAGTTTCATTCTTCTGCATGTGGCTATCCAATTTTCCCAGCACCATTTGTTGAAGAGACTGTCTTTTTTCCACTGGACATTCTTTCCTGCTTTGTTGAAGATTAGTTGACCATAGAGTTGAGGGTCCATTTCTGGGCTCTCTATGCTGTTCCATTGATCAATGTGTCTGTTCTTGTGCCAGTACCATACTGTCTTGATGATGACAGCTTTGTAATAGAGCTTGAAGTCCGGAATTGTGATGCCGCCAGCTTTGCTTTTCTTTTTTAACATTCCTCTGGCTAGTAGGGGTCTTTTCTGGTTCCATACAAATTTTAGGATTATTTGTTCCATTTCTTTGAAAAAAGTGGATGGTATTTTGATGGGGATTGCATTGAATGTGTAGATTGCTCTAGGTAGCATTGACATCTTCACAATATTTGTTCTTCCAATCCATGAGCATGGAACGTTTTTCCATTTCTTTGTGTCTTCCTCAATTTCTTTCATGAGTATTGTATAGTTTTCTGAGTACAGATTCTTTGCCTCTTTGGTTAGATTTATTCCTAGGTATCTTATGGTTTTGGGTGCAATTGTAAATGGGATCGACTCCTTAATTTCTCTTTCTTCTGTCTTGTTGTTGGTGTATAGGAATGCCACTGATTTCTGTGCATTGATTTTATATCCTGCCACTTTACTGAATTCCTGTATGAGTTCTAGCAGTTTTGGGGTGGAGTCTTTTGGGTTTTCCACATAAAGTCTCATATCATCTGCAAAGAGTGAGAGTTTGACTTCTTCTTTGCCGATTTGGATGCCTTTGATTTCTTTTTGTTGTCTGATTGCTGTGGCTAGGACTTCTAATACTATGTTGAATAGCAGTGGTGATAGTGGACATCCCTGCCGTGTTCCTGACCTTAGGGGGAAAGCTCTCAGTTTTTGCCCATTGAGAATGATATTTGCTGTGGATTTTTCATAGATGGCTTTTATGATATTGAGGTATGTACCCTTTATGCCTATACTCTGAAGAGTTTTGATCAAGAAAGGATGCTGTACTTTGTCAAATGCTTTTTCTGCATCTATTGAGAGGATCATATGGTTCTTGTTCTTTCTTTTATTAATGTATTGTATCACATTGATTGATTTGTGGATGTTGAACCAACCTTGCAGCCCAGGGATAAATCCCACTTTATCCCAGGGATAAATGCCGTGGTGAAGAATCCTTTTAATGTGCTGTTGGATCCTATTGGCTAGTATTTTGGTGAGAATTTTTGCATCCATGTTCATCAAGGATATTGGTCTGTAATTCTCCTTTTTGATGGGGTCTTTGGTTTGGGGATCAAGGTAATGGTGGCCTCATAAAACGAGTTTGGAAGTTTTCCTTCCATTTCTATTTTTTGGAACAGTTTCAGAAGGATAGGTATTAATTCTTCTTTAAATGTTTGGTAGAATTCCACTGGGAAGCCATCTGGCCCTGGGCTCTTGTTTATTGGGAGATTTTTGATTACTGCTTCAATTTCCTTAGTGGTTATAGGTCTGTTCAGGTTTTTTGTTTCTTCCTGGTTCAGTTTAGGTAGTTGATACATCTCTAGGAATGCATCCATTTCTTCCAGATTATCTAATTTGCTGGCATATAGTTGCTCATAATTGTATTTCTTTGGTGTTGGTTGTGATCTCCTCTTTCATTCATGATTTTGTTGATTTGGGTCATTTCTCTTTTCTTTTTGATAAGTCTGGCCAGGGATTTATCAATCCTGTTAATTCTTTCAAAGAATCAGCTCCTAGTTTCATTGATCTGTTCTACTGTTCTTTTGGTTTCTATTTCATTGATTTCTGCTCTGATCTTTATTATTTCTCTTCTCCTGTTGGGTTTAGGCTTTATTTGCTGGTCTTTCTCCAGCTCCTTTAGGTGTAGGGTTAGGTTGTGTATTTGAGACCTTTCTTGTTTCTTGAGAAAGGCTTGTATTGCTATACACTTTTCTCTTAGGACTGCCTTTGCTGCATCCCAAAGATTTTGAACAGTTGTGTTTTCATTTTCATTTGTTTCCATGAATTTTTTAATTCTTCTTTAATTTTCTGGTTGACCCATTCACTCTTCAGTAGGATGCTCTTTAGCCTCCATGTATTTGAGTTCTTTCCGACTTTCCTCTTGTGATTGAGTTCTAGTTTCAAAGCATTGTGGTCTGAAAATAGGCAGGGAATGATCCCAATCTTTTGGTACCGATTGAGACCTGATTTGTGACCTGGGACGTGATCTATTCTGGAGAATGTTCCATGGGCACTAGAGAACAATGTGTATTCTGTTGCTTTGGGATGGAATGTTCTGAATATATCTGTGAAGTCCATTTGGTCCAGTGTGTCATTTAAAGTCTTTATTTCCTTGTTGATCTTTTGCTTAGATGATCTGTCCATCTCAGTGAGGGGGGTGTTAAAGTCCCCCACTATAAATGTATTGTTGTCATTGTGTTTCTTTGCTTTTGTTATTAATTGGCTTATATAATTGGCTGCTCCCATGTTAGGGGCATAGATATTTACAATTGTTAGATCTTCTTGTTGGATAGACCCTTTAAGTATGATTTAGTGTCCTTCCTCATCTCTTATTACAGTCTTTGGTTTAAAATCTAATTTGTCTGTTATAAGGATTGCCACCCCAGCTTTCTTTTGGTGTCCATTAGCATGGTAAATGGTTTTCTACCCCTTCACTTTCAATCTGGGGGTGTCTTTGGGTCTAAAATGAGTCTCTTGCAGACAGCATATCGATGGGTCTTGTTTTTTTATCCAATCTGATAGCCTGTGTCTTTTG